ATATGAGGCCATACCATATCACCTTAGAACCAGATGCAGAACCAGTTATCCACCCACCGCGACAAGTTCCAGTGCACCTTAGGGACCACTTCAAGCAGATTACTGACAATATATACATTACGTTATTTTTCTGTAGGTAGACATTATTCCGAGACATTATTCCAATTATTTAAAGTAATTTTTAATTAGAAAAAAACTTTAAAAAAAAAAGAAAGAAAGGGGGATGTCACACTTCCGGTTATATTAACTTCCTGTACGGAATACTAGATCCAGTCTCCTACTGTTATATAAACACGCGTACTCACCATAGCCGCCATATTGTAACATATTTTCAATAAAGCTAGTTTCAAATAAAACGTGCAAGTTTACAGCCATGGCAACACTGACATAAACGCGAGCCTGCGTTCAGTGTCGATCAATTCCCAATACTTCACGTTAAATCAATGTTTGGAAAATATAGGTGAGGAGTTGCTGCATGCATGTATTTCTAGTTGGTAAGTTTACTTAATTCGGTTAACGGTACTAATAAATTTGGACAATCAAAAAGAAAGACAGTTTGACGGCACGAGAGAATTATATTTCTCCACCCAATTAATGCAAGTTGTAGCCTGCGAGCAGGCTCTCTGGGTGAAAGAGAGCCTGCAACGATCCCTATGATGTTTACTTGCATGCGTCCAATGTTTGGACGCAGAGCTCTGATTGGTTGATAACTGACTCAAATGAAGTGATTGACAAGCTTCCATAAACTACACTTCCCGTTTGTAATCCCGCTTCGGAATTGCGGCAATGTGGAGATAGAAGTGTCATGTATTTTGTATCCTTGTTGACTTTTTACAGTAAAATAATATAGTATTCATGTAAAGATGAATACTAAAAGCTTGCATGCTTTATTGTGTCCTGGGCTTGTTTGACTTCTAGGCTATTAAGAAAAGACTGAACAAATTCGGCGCAGACCGAGACAAGGCATTTATTTATATATTCGCTAGGGACTAGGCATTTATATATCGCTTCCCTTTCATGAAACAATATTGAGAATTATTCTGATAATATTCAGTGCATATTGTTTGTATTAAGCTTGTTTTACAATGTTATACTGACTATTTAATATTTATAAGTATGGGGCGTTAAAATGTACAGTAATTTACTCGTCACTTTGTTTACAATAATTATCACATGCATGTTTAATACTGTAATTCCATTTTGCAAAATTTGAACTATAAACATATTAAATTATGTCCAAAGTCCATGGTATATCATATTATACTATACTGTATATATATTTATATATATATATATATATATATATATATATATATATATATATATATATATATATATATATATATATATATATATATATATATATATTTATTGCAGTTATATTACTATACTGGATATATATATTTATTGCAGCATGAAGCAATTCCAAACAACTGAATTAGTTAGCGGGTATTAAAATATACAACTTTAAACTTACTGTGCCTACAGAAACACATGCAGATTGTAATAAAAAGTACAACTTGATATATTACACTGTAAAATCTCAAGCCGTTTTAACTTTTTTTAGTATGCCCCAGTGGCGGTCTGTATACGAAACTAACGAAAGAATACAATATAAATGGAGTTCAACGTTTATCGGTTTATGTTTACAATATTTAAGTGTATTTCCGGTCTGCGCTGATTGGTTGATATTAATTGACCTGTGACATCCTAACTGAAAGGCGGCACGTAAACATCATAGGGAGCCTTGCAGGCTCTCTTTCACCCAGAGAGCCTGCTCGCAGGCTATGCAAGTTGCTATACGTATTACATTTCAAATGGTCATGAATTTGACATTCCTCATTTTAATACTAATCGTACTAAAAACTCATTTCTATTTGCGATGGCATCTAAGATGTCTTCGTAACGTTAGTGGTATCTTTTTTATTATCATCCTAGTAAAATTTTAAATATTTGCATCATTTTAACTTAATAATTGTAATAGTAATTAAATAATAATTCGTATTTTGTAAACTTTACGTAATTCAGCCTTTGGCTGCAATGTAAATGTTTTAGTAAACTATCTATCTACCTATCTATCTATCTATCTATCTGCATCACATATTTGTGCCTTTATCAGGGCGCTAACAGGGCGACATAAAAACGATGCCACTAATATCCCTATTTACTTAACTTAAGTTTCTAATTGAAGCCAATGTTACGGTAGATCATGAATAATTAAGAACTTACGTTAGTGGCTAAAGATTATGAATACAATTACGAAAACAAAACGTTGTTGTAACTAAGAGGTCGGAGAAAGGTTGTGATCAAGGCTTTGCTGGAAAAAATATCCAGCGAAAAGAAACAATTAATTAATCGAGTGACGAAGGTGCTGGCCGTGCATTGCTTCGCTGTAAGTTACTTTTATTTTACCGTGGGTTAATTTCGTCTTGCCATGAGTTCATTAATTTTATGTTGCTACGTGAGGAATAATTTTTTTTTCACATGAGTTGGTTTTATTTTGCATGAAGTTACCTTATTTTACGATGGCTATTTTGCCGTAACACTTGTAGGCCACCGTAATACCGACGTCCATACTGTCGTCAGCTGTCGCTTATAAACAATGGACACAAGTACACAACGGATGTTTATGAGGGCCTGTTCATATGAACAAAAGTTATCCCAGTTAGCGAGAAAACTTTTAAGTTTACAAGCGAGATCTCGCCTTGGTATGAAAATAATATGAAAAGTTACACTGCGTTCATATGAGACAAAACGTTTTCCCGTGTACCGAGATCTCGCTTGTTGACAGGCGAGATCTCGGTGACCGGGATAATGTTTTTCCCATATGAACACAACTTTCCCGCTTAGCGGGATAACTTTCTGACGTGTCAGCAACTTTTCAATTCAATTGATGTTCAGTGCCACGTCACAGCCGAAAACTTTACCCGGTAATTTCAATTCAATTTAATTTAACAATTTTGTTGAGAATTCTACAACGTTTTAAACACAACAGTTCTATGTAGAAATAAGTAGAATACTCAAATGGACAATATCAAGCACGAACGAGACATAAAGTCCCATGCAAGATGCTTACCATTCTAAAACTATACAAAACAATGAAATAGAACAAAATACAATACAAAACAGCACAAACATGAAACACAGTTATTAGCCGTTTTCACATCAGAAGACGGACAAGTCGTCCAGACGAACAAATCGTCTCAAAATCGTCTTTTAGTCGGACAATCATCAGATGTGAAAACGTGTCGGACAAAATTTTAGACGAACAAGTCGTCTGAATTGTTCGACTACTTGTCCGTCTGTGAAGACGATTTTTGAGAGACGATCCGTTCGCCCAGACGACCCGTCCGCCTCTAATGTGATAAGCGGGATAAAGTTTCGCCATATGAACAGAACAAAAGTATTTGGCTAGTCGAAGTGTTTTCTCGCTAACCGGGATAACTTTTGCCCATATGAACAGGCCCTGAGTCTACAACGTTTATTAAAAAGTCAAACTGTCAAATATTATATTCCAGTAATTCCACTATATTGTATAAATTCACTGGGTCCAAATTTTGAGGTCTTCGTCTCTTCGAGTTGTTATACAATGAAAAACACATATTTTTATTTTGGAATAGGTAATAGGACCTCTACATGCGTCTTGGACCTGTTTGCTTGTAATCAATATTTATCTAATGGATTTCTTTTATATTCAACGGGGTCTTGAAAGTAGACCATGCCGCAAAAGTTTGTATAAAAGGTGCACGCGTATAATGCGTGCGTTGTTTTTTGTCTTATTATGTAAGTCCATTGTAGAAATATCGTAATTGAAGTTAGCATGTACTGTATGTAAAGTTATTACTTGGTAATTGATAGGTGTAATTTGATGATGCACATGAATTTATCACAGGGTGGGATTTGACCATACTGCGATATTAAACAATTAATTCAACACGCAAGTAAGTCCAGTGTGTGACACAACGTAAAATCGATAGGAAACCGGCACAATTCTTTGAAAATTCAATGAATCTGTGTGAAATATATATAGATCACTCAGTGAATAGCCGCCATTTTGAAAAGGAACTGAACATATCACTGGAGCACTCTACCCTTGGAGTTCGGAATTGTGCGCGTGCGTACAAGTGTATGGGCTAATAAACGAAAAATGTACCACAAGCATGGCATGAGCTGGCTATTACGTACATAATTACGAGCTTGTTACTATAATATTTAAATCGATGGAGTCGATGGCATTTTGGCTTAATCGTTGCACCCTGATCCTGCGATGCCGACGAAAAAAACAGAAAATTAATTGACCTTTCAGGTCAGTGTAATTACTTCAAAAGGCTCATGCAGCTATTGTTTTTTGGCTTAACAATGAGATACCCGAAGATGCGAGTTCATATCCGGCTCGAGCCAACGAATTTCTCGTTGTAGTCTAGGACCTGTATATGAGTTTGTATGCGTTTCATTTAGCACAGGTAATCTCAACTGTTTTAGGGTAAAATGACCATGGCGGTCAACATGGCATATGTGCCAAAACCTGAATCCGGCAAGAAAGTCCTGAAAATGACCTCACCCTGAAACGGCAGTGTCGACATAGCTCTAACGCCTTGCTTCCATTTGCTGGGTACTTTCTCATACTTCCATGCAGATGTTCTTCAATAATTCATGTATTTTCTTTGCAGAAAATCTACGCCTTCCCTCAGTAACTCTATCGTAATCGAGTCTGTCAGTGATGATTTTCCGTTCTTCAGTCTTCCTAGCTATGGCTGATTTTACTTCTCCCAATGTTGGTTCATTAGTTGCTATCTCTTCGATGATATCAGTGAATCCAAAGCCATTGTCTTCCTCCTCGGTTTTTGGGTTTGTTGGTCCTTCTCTATTAAGGATTTCTTGAAAGTGCTCTGTCCATCTAGCTTGTATATCTTCCTTGCTGCTTAAGAGATTACCCCCTTGTCTAGGACAGCGCCACTCCTTCTTGATCTCTCATTGCACCGGGTCTTAGTTAGCCCATACAGCGTTCTCATATGTTGGTTCCTTGCAGCATACTCTGCCTCGTCTGCAATACCGTCCATCCATATCCTTTTGTCTGTCCATATACTCTTCTTCACCTCCGACTTCTTCTCTGCATATTTCTTCCTGAGCTGTGTCTTCGCTCTTTCTGAGCGTGTTCCAAAGATCTTTTTGTTGATCTCCTCTCTCTCTTCTACGAGCTTCCATGAACGGTCGTTTATCCATGGTTTTTTCTTCTTCTCGGTTTTCCAGGCACTGTCTCAGCAGCTTCAGCATGTGCCTTCATCATGATGTTGAACTCTCGCTCTATATCCTTTTCGTCGCGTTCATCTTCCTGATAGCTCTATCTCTTCCTCCTCCAGCACGCCATACCTGTTCTTCAAGGCGATGGTGAAAGTCTTTCTTGTATCTTCATCCTTCAACTTCGCTGTGTCATATTTTGTCCTCTTTCTTCCTTTCTCCCTTGGGTTTGTCTTTAATCTCAACTTGACTTCCATACACACAAGAAAATGGTCACTTCCTATGTCAGCTGATCTGAAAACTCGCGTGTCCTTCACAGAATTCCTAAATTTCCTGCTAACGAGTCTACATGGTTTCTGGTCACTCCATCCGGTGATGTCCATGTTGCTTTATGTATCGTTTTGTGAGGGAAGAGCGTACCAGTTATCATTAGCTCGTTCATGTCGCAGATCTCGCATAATCTTTCGCCATTATTATTCCGTTGCCCCAAGCCATGTTCACCCATCACTCGTTCGTAATTCTGCTTGTTATCACCAACCTTTGCATTCATGTCCCCAGTCACATCCAGCATGTCATGTGTTTTGCATGAACTCAACACATCCTGCAGTCTCGTATAGAACTCATCCTTTACCTGCTCCTCAGCATCTTCCGTAAGTGCGTACACATGCACTAGTGTCAACTTAATGTGATTGGAGTAAAACCTTGCTTGGACAATCCTTTCGCTGATTGGGCTCCAGTCTATCAATGCTCTGCTTGCGTTCTTCGACATCAGTATACCTACCCCTTGCCTATGAATGTTGTCCTCTCTTCCCGAGTAGATTATGGTCTCTCCCTCTTGCAGTTGCAACTTACCATGACCGATCCAGTGTGTCTCACTTATGCTCATGATGTCAATCTCTCTCTTTTTGCCATCGCTCTTGTTGCCTGGGCAACATTACCGCTCTCATTTTGTGTCCTTACATTCCAATTTCCAATCTTGGTGATGCTCTTTGGGGGTAGAAGTGGCTTCATCGGCCCGGGGGCTTCCTGCTGGATTTGAGCCCCTTGTGTCATAGGCTCCGTTGTTTAAGAAAGTGCCCACTGCGCACCCAAGATTCAATTAATTTTCTCTGTTTCAGTTTCCGTTATAATTTTTTTTTATGGGAGCGGGTTATCAGCCCTCAGCCCAAACCCCAAACCTGGAGGACCAGGGGATCATTTTTCGTCTGGTTCCTACCCGTCAAACTGTTCGGCATGGGTGGCCTACCAGGAGCTTTAGGCTCCAGCCGACATAGCTCTAAGGGTCAGTGGAACACTCAAGCCACATCACCACTACAAGGTGATGATCGCAGCGATGTAGGAACGCCTGAGCAGGCGTCTTGTTTAATATATTCAAGGCCGTCTATCTTCGCTGTAACATCTCGTTTTGTTCCTTGTGTTCCTCATATTTTTTAGATATCGCACGTAGCATTCTTCGCTCGCTAGCTGTTCATCGGCATAAAGGCATGCATCATAATCGCCTAAAATTTCGCTATCAACTGCTTCTAGAGTTCCAATTTCGTGACTAGTATCATTTGATTCATCCTCTATAATATACCCAGGAATATAATTGCATTCTGAGTCACATTGAGAACCATGAGTGCTGGAAAACATACGTCTTCCCAATAGCTTTTTAGTACTCCTTCACATGTGAATTCGAACTTCCGTCCATGCCACGTCACACGGCTGTCGCCCCAGACCCTTTTCCGATTTTTTCTCGTGCTCGACAATTTTTCGGTAAAAGCCAATTTTTCAAGGTTTAGAGCCGCATATCTCGCGAATGAAAAGAGAAAACCGAAAAATGTTAAAGAACCTATTAACTAACTTTTTGTCCGGTATTCAAATATCAAAAAAAAATTTTATGACATAAGCACTTTAAATTACTTTTTTTTAATTCTGGCAGGACAACTATTATGGGGGGTTTTCCTCCCAACTGCAAATAATGTTTTCAATTTTTGGATTGGGACTATTCTACAATGAAGTACTTTTGGATAATGTAATCTAAATACATGTGTATTGAAGAAGTGGAGAAGAAGATGAAGAAGTGGTATTTATTGGGCAAAGAAGCGGCGATCCATTGAATGGCGCCATATTTCACGAAATATGGAAGGACACAATATCGAAGATAAAATACACTCCATGGTTTCAAAGCTTGATGAAACCTTCTTTGAAATCTTCTTCAACCATTTATGATTATGTAAAAGTACAACAACTGTACGATATTTGCCAGATTCGGCGATAAAAAGCAAACAAGACGGCAACATATGGCTGAAATCGTGTTTTCGTGGGGAGTAAGTGAATAAAATGTATTTATATTTAAAGAAAACAATGACAATCCTTATGAAATTAATAATATTTATATTAAATTAAGCATAGTTTTTCACCCCATGATAATTTTTTTTAGGAACTAAGAAAATTTAATTTCTGCCAAGCATATTAGTTATTTTATGTAAATTAGCAATTTACATTGGCTGGTGCATGGTCATTTTCTTGTAAAATATTATACTTAGACAAATTTTTCCTTCCAATGACCACCCCTAAAAGCAACCCTTCTAAACACTATAAGCACTTCAGAAAGACTATCGCTTTTCGTTTTCGGAAGTTAGAGCTATGTCGACACTGCCGTTTCAGGACGGGCTCATTTTCAGGACTTTCTTCCGGATTCAGGTTTTGGCACATATGCCATGTTGACCGTCATGGTCATTTTACCCTAAAACAGTTGAGATTACCTGTGCTAAATGAAACGCAGACAAACTCATTTACAGGTCCTAGACTTTTGGTAGCCTGTGTTGCAGTGTCAGAATAATTTGAAACTGCATGGTTTTTCGTATCTCTGAGGATTTGAGAGGATGGTTCTGAAATAGAATTGAAACACTGCGCGTCCTCTAAGACAAGCGTTACGTTAAGTCGTCACGAAAATATTTCGTGCACTTAAATTGGATAAGACTCGCTACCAATCCCCGTTGACTCGATAGCTCAATGGGTGGAGCGGCGGTCTAGACACCCGAAGATGCGGGTTCAAATCCCGCTCGAGCCAACGTTTTCTTCGTTGGTATATTGCAGTGCAAGATTAATATGAGATTGGTTTTTCGTATAACATACGTTCCACGATGCATTCCTTCACCGTGTCGTCATAAAACATGAACGTTTCTACTGGCTTCTGACCGTCTTTTCAACTTCCGGGGAAGACACTCTACTGATTTCGGTAATATTTCGGAACAAAGTCTAGCACCTTCGATACCATTGTGTTCAATGATCATGATATTTTTGTGTGTGTTTTGATGTTATGTACTCAGGTGAATATAATGTTCTTTGATGTCACTCTGAGTGCACATTCATACTGGGCAAGGTGAAAACTTAGCCTTACCACTGTGGGAATCGAACCCGTGACCTTTGGGATACTACACAGCCAGAAATCTCACAGGCCTGTCGCAAGCTGTTGATTTACCGGCTTGCGGCAAGTTGTCAACAAGTCGCGACAGGTCTGTTGGTTTCGTCAGGCGGTAACAGGCTTGCGGTAACAGGTCTGTCGCAAGCTGTTGACAACAGAGCCGTAGCGACTTGTTGAAACAACCCGCTACAAACCTGTTACTAACAAGAGATAACAGGTCTGATACAACAATTTGCAGCAAGTCTGTTGAAATCAACAGGTCTGTTACAACCTGTTCCAACAGACCTGTCGCGAGTTGTTTTTGTCAAGTCTGCAGCAAGCTTGTTATCAGACCTGCGACAAACCTGTCCACAACAAACAATTTTTTTCCTGTCACAACAAGTTTCAACAAGCCTGTTGTAGGGAAACAAATCGAAAATGTGAGTAAAGAGATATAAAATCGCACGAAATGGACACTTCCGGCTTCACTTTCTCATTTAATCATTGTCATTGGTGGCGATATTAAATCACATAGGAGAGATTATAGTCCATAGTATATATTCTCTGATTATTATAAAATGCAAAAGCCGCTGTTTTATTTTTTTTTAAAAAGTTCCGATTTCCAAAATCCAAATTCCAATTTGCTGACGTGTGCTATCGCTATATTTCTTTAACCTGATTGGATAAACGCGTGTGCACACGTCATCATTCCTCGTTGCAATTGGGCGAAATATTACAAACATATCAATCACGTAATCATGTTTAGTTGTTTTTGAATTTTGAGCCAAACAAAATTTCAACAACTGCCTCAAACAAAATCAAACAAGTTCAAAGCTGTTTTGATTTTTGAAGAAACTGTAGCAATGAGAATACAAGATTTAGAGCTTAAGAAATGAACAATACATGAACAACCGAGTGTTCACTGCAACGTTCGTCATTGCTGATATGAACATGAAATTCGTTATATAATTTCTTTCCAATTTCAAGTGAAATCTGCGAGCGAGGAAGACGCCTTATTGAAGCTTTGTGTTTATGGTATGTACTGTTTTGAAGAAAAAGATGCAAGTAGGTTGTCATATTTCGGTCGTACTTCAAGACAAATAATTTTGAAAATTGTTTACGATAAGAACCTTTCTTGAATTGTCGTATTTTTTCGGCTGTTTTGCTCAAAAATTATCTCGCAAGTTTGTTTATAAAACTTTATATTCATATATAAAAATTATCTCGCAAGTTTGTTTATAAAACTTTATATTTCAAACTTCTATTTCACGAAACACTACAACCGAAATATGGCAACCTGTTTGGCCGTTTTTTGTTCAAAATAGTGGATACACAAGCTTCATAAGGCGCTTTCCTCGGTTTGCAACAGGTCTGTCGCAAGTTGTTGAAAACAGCATTGCTGCAGCTCTGTCACAACAGCTTTTAACAGACCTGTTGAAAACAGCATTGCAGCAGCTCTGTTACAACAGCTTGTAACAGACCTGTTGAAAACAGCATTGCAGCAGCTCTGTCACAACAGCTTGTAACAGACCTGTTGACAGGCCGTTGCAGGTCTGTCAGAACAGACAGGTACAAGGCGAGCGAACGCATCCAGATATCGGCTTGTTGACAACAGGATTTAACAGATCTGTTGCAGATCTGTTCCGACTTGCGCGTTTCTGGCTGTGTACACTTGGGCATAGCAATGTGACATACACCTTTGGTTACGGCGGGGATTATTATAACTGCACATACATGTACTCTAGATAAACTGTGTTTTTGTTTTGCTTGTTAGGTTGTAATCAAAGGTTTATACAGCTCAGAAAATAATGTGCAACAAAGTTTTGACACTCCAGTTAAAGTAAGGACTAGCTGTTTATTCACACTCGATCTTCTTTGTTTGAAGTATTTACATTTGGCAAATACCATGTTTGTGAATATAAAAACTAAGTAATGGTGCATAGTTGAGGAACCAATCGGAATGCAGGATTTTGATTGGACGTCGTTGAGTGGATACTAAAATTTGCATAGACACTATTTCAACCTCGTTCCCAGTCACAAGAGGGAAGAGCCTGGGAACGAGGTTGGATTGTTTTCATCGTGTAACCATGTATGTATGTACAGTAGTACATAATTTATAGAGTTCCAGTACATGTAATATTATAGTGTACGTTGATCAATTATAAGTTGTGTGAGTTACTCCAGTACTTCCTCTGTTTTTTTATTCACCTTTTTCTGTATGTGTTTAGGCTGTAGCATTAGACCCAGAATTTTCGAAGAAAAGCGCAAAACCGTTTGTGACTGGTGGAGATAAGGTGAACTATGAACGAAAATCTACTAATTTTACCGTATATCTGCCCTGCATTTTCATATGATGAACCTATTTATAGTATAATAGATGATAATTAAATTAATTCAGAAAATCAATTTATTAATTTATTAATCAAAAAATCAGAAAATCAATTTATTAATCAGAAAATTAATTTATTCCTCTATTCAGCTCGTACTTCATGAAAAAGGATTTTTCCGATATAAATCGACAGTACTACATGGTGGTGAAGGGGTAATCCGTACTATACGATGGAGATCATGTTACATTGCCTGGGCAAATGATTTGGTATGTATAATTTATGTTAAACAAGTTGTATTTCGACCGTTCTCTAAACCGTCAATGCTTGTCTTAATATACACTTCATTTATTTTCCTTGAATTTTACGTAGGGTGTCAAAGTGTATGATGTTAGTTTAAAGCAGCTTATAACTAATATACGAAGAGAACCAAACAGGTGCTTTTTTCATATATCATATGTTCTAATATTCAGTGCACCGGATAGTGCTTTTTGCTATCCGGCCGGATACTGTAGTTGTAAAATATCCGGCCGGAAACCGGATATTTTGGATAAAAATTCATACATGCCAGATATGATTTAATAACCACATAAGGCATGGCATCCCAATGTTGTTTTTGCATGTGCTGTTTATTTGTTAAACATGTTAGCTAACAAAAGTACGTTCAATTTTTTGTGTCAATGTTTTTTGTATTATTTTAGAAGTAACAGATATTGAATAGTACGCTTCACAAACTATCCGGTTTAAGTTAAATTGATATTCAAGTCGCTTATAGAAGAAATATCCATGACAACATACATGAAAACCTTAATTCTTCGTAAATCACGACAAAAAGTGCAACCAACACTTCTAAATTGCCGTTTGCGTACCTGAAAAATTTAATATCCGGTATCCGGCCGGAAAGCTTCAATTATCCGGCCGGATAGTGCGATTTTCCCACTATCTGGCCGGATACACTATCCGGTGCACCCCTAACTATGATGTCACATTGCATAATGACTTTCTTAAAAAGCCTGAAGATCTTGTGCATCAAAATAAAAAAAGAGTGAAACAAATTTGTGCAATTTGACGTCATAGTCAGGATAATTTGCATATCAAACGTTAAGCTAAGTTAATTTGGCAAAGTATCATTTTGCATTTTCTTTATACAATGCAATCATAAAAAATGGTTTGAAATTTCGTTGCATAACAGATCCTTAATAACGCTAAACCAATCTCGACATATGTTCATTTTTAGTCCAAGACCTCAGGTCTACCGTTGTAATTTGTTTTGGAAAGACAATACCACGTTGATTGTTGGTTGGGCAAACATTGTTCAGGTAAGCTAAAATTCCTTGTTATGCGTAGTGGACAAGATTTTAGAAGTGAAATTATGTGTTAATGAAAGTCACTTGAAAGTGATACGCAACTTGATCACGCTACTTTAGTTTATTTCAAAGGAACTTCGATAAAGTATTAAAACAGTGTTTAACATCACTTTTAAAAGCTTGCTTTTTAGCTTTCGCATCAACCAGTCGCATGCAGCTTATAGAACATCGTTAAACAGAACGCATTTACTTGCTTCGCGGTTCTTTTTTCTTATTTTCTTTTTTTCAAGACTGGCTCTACGATATATTGTTTTCCAAAAGGGGAAACAGCTTGATGCATGGGAGAGTTGACGATAGTCAATGTGACAGACATCAATGGACTTCTTCAGGCAGTCTTTGTACCGTAATGAAAGCTTTTCAGTCAGAATATTTAAAAAGTCATGTCAATTTGCACCACAGGACAGAGCCCTGGATCATGCGCAAAACAAGTGCACCGCAAGCGAGCGTGAAAACGTACTATTTTTCAATCGATATCAAGGTTTATGATTCCGCACAAACAAACTATAGCAGACTAACAAACTCACGCAGCGAATATAAAGTGATGCCAAACTTTGTTTTGGGCACTGCAATATTCCGGGTGAGCAACTTCATTAAATAGTTGGGGTGTGGAATGGCATTGAGCCACTGTACAGCTATTAAATATTCAGCTTGAGCGACAGTCATTGAACATTAAACCCTGGTGTCCATATCTTATGTGTCGAACTGATAAAATTATGGGTTCAAGGCTAATTCCATATACTAAATTTTAGCTACTGCATGTGCCAACATATCTCAGTTCTGATTATTGCATTTGGAACCGTTTATTTCTCAAGATATGAAAATTTACATCTCGAAGGAAATTGAGAGGTTAACCCTTCATGAACAATTCCCTTAATTTATGTAATAATTTATGCATATACCTAATATGTGGTTAAGAGTTATTAAAAAGTTATATATTTAAATAGAACATCCAATTTAGACACTTAAATAATCTTTTAAATTCTTCTTAAATGCGTTAAAATTATCTGCATGCTTCTGCAATATGTTTAGGCAGATTGTTCCACATTTTAACTATATTTTTACAAATAAGTGTTTGTAACAATTTACTCATGCCGATTTTACATATTGTCATATAGCTTAAACTTGTGCTTTGCTCTAGTATGTGATAACTTTGCTATTCAAAATAGTCATCAAAGTTTACATTGTCAGTTACAGCTAGTATACCAAAAACTATTTTGTAATATTCGATGTGCCAGAGTCGTTCTCAATGCTCATCTTCGACACAGCAGTATCGACTTGTTCAACACTCTAGGTTCGGTACCTTTTATGTTGAGGCTGATGTTAATCGTTGTCTCGTGGCGTCGTCTCATGGCATGTCTCATGTCAGATTACATCGAGGATCTGCATGTTGATATTGAACGGTGATCAACATAAAAGAAACACTCCAGCGCTCTTTATACAATTTTACCACCGAGGTATAACGAAGTTATTAGGGAGCTTATAAGATACCCCAAATCTACGACGCGGACGTGACGAAAAATATGGATTGTTGTTGGTAAACAAAGCCAGGGACACGAGAAAAACAAAGTAAAACTAGTCTCCCATTATTAGCGACTGTTTTTTAGTCACGTCCACGTTGCAGATTTGGTGCATCTTAAGCTCCCTAATGAATTAAGGAGGGTGCACATTTTCGGTATCCATGCACAGCCAAATACTGCAACTACTTACCTTTTAAATTACGAACCTGCAGTGCCATATACATTTTAAAGAAATAATTATACCGGAAGCTTAAGACTAATCAACTTAGCGATATAAGGTTTTTAATCCATTTTTAGATAATCTTTTATATAGACATTATATATGTAGATAGCATATTCTATATTAGGTTTTACTGTTGTTTATACAAAGCATATCCTGCGGACTCTAGCAAATCTATTATGTTCTAAACCCGTTAAATAAAGTTTAAATAAAAAGAAAAATGAAATGATTATATGCTAATATAATCACGCTCGATCGCAGATAAAGTTGGCGAGCCAAGCTTTTTAGATCTGTCTTCATATGTGATTTCACCTCGACGCTGGTTTAGGGCTAATCTGGAAGCCCTTCTCTGAACTTTCTCTATTTCTTGAATATTTTTAACTAGATAGGGGTTTAATTTACAAGTGAATTATACATCAAGGATGTATCTAGTTGCATGTTTTTTAAATTTTGTCTTTATAAAGGTGTGCAATGTTAAAGAAAGGACAAAAACTACTGTGACACAAAATCCAGAACATAAATTTCTTCCATCAAAATATGTGGAGATAGGTATAACTACTGTAAAAATTATTATTGGAAAAATGTGATTAATGATTATTGAAAGCGATTGTTTTTACGTTTTGTGAACATGAATATATGAATAAACACCCCCAATTATCGCGTCTAGTTACTGCCCTGATTATGGTGTGGATATATGATATTGCGTAAAATGTGATCATTACTTATTTATATAATCCTGTTTTTGCTTCAAGTTGGTATGATACCACTGGATTATTTTATTTCTGGAATTGGACCATTTGATAACGATCTGGTGAGGGTAGTTTTTGTTAATGATGCTATCTATATGGTATAAATGTTTTAGGCACTATTTTTCTATATCAATATTGTACTAATAATATATTATATACTCTTACTGTTGTTCAATTTTGATGTGTAATTAATCCCCTTACGAGCTTTTGAGTCACTTCATTGGCCATTGTTCCAGGATTTTCTTGAACGGAACTTATTTACAGAATTGATGGACATACTCAGTTAATTACAACAATATATATGTTTCTGATTTCCATTTTATTTTCATCAATGTTTTCATTTCCTTGTACTATCCTAATACTCCAACGTCTAACTAATTTTTCATTTTTAATTTGTAGATTATTTTAACCTACTCTGTGGATGATAGTACGAACGAGGGCGAGGTGTGTTGAAATAATGAAATCAATAATGGGTGTTTGTTCGACCGCTGTATCTAGTATACTGCATGTACGCTGTATCTGTATGATGGACATGTAGTATACTACATGTACATATCTTGTGGCTTTATTTCTTGTTATTAGCTTTATTTCTTGTTATTTTTTTTATGTGTGCATAATTATTTTTGGTAGGTGAAATTGTACCGTGTTAAAATATTGTTCATAATCCCCGAGCCATGCCAGCGCCGTTCCGGCCATAAGCCCGGGGCGAGGGTACTAATTCCGTCCGGCTACTTACACCCGGGGAAAGGAAAGCAGTAGCGAAGTCTAAAGTTCATCAATGATCGCGGGCATGGGTCACTGTGCGTGGAAGGTCATCTCACTGATTTCAAAATATGGCTGTTTGCCAGGAGTGAAGAAGGCAAAAATATGAAAAATAAGAAAGCCCGGAAAATCGTTTCACATAACAAGTTTTAAAACGTTTTTCATTTTTTAAACGTAAACATTTATAAGAATTGATTTATGTAGTATGAAAAATCCTAAAGTATAGGGCAAGTTTGTTTCAATTGTTTGCGTGTGATTTTGTATTATTAAATAAATATAGACTTTGTTCTTGTTGTTCAATTAGTCTTTCGTATGCATTGTATGCGAAAGTTTCTTAGTTAAATTAACTTTTGTAGAAGTTCATGACAAAAAGGAAAGCAGATTATGTTCACAAGCGTCCTGTAGGAATTAAATTTATTTCATATCAAAGTGCGAGTAATAAGTTGAAGCTCGAATTGAAGAGTTTATTAGCTTAATATCGGCAAAAAGCAGTTAATTTCAATTCACACTTAAAAATGTTTTACATGCATGGAGTTTCGTTTTGAATTTTACATTAAAATAAAGCCCATACATAGAAAGCAAAATAATTAGCTACTTTATATATTTTATAAGTTGATATTTCTGTATTTAAAAGTGTTCAAGTTTCATCTATTTTTTGCAGGTTTGTACAAAAGGTTTAAAAAACAATTATCGTGTTGCCATGACTAACATGACGCGACATAATTCCAATTTTTGTTTATCGATTTTATGATGTACTTACACTTATCATATAATTTCTTGAAGAGTAAAGCTGCTCGACCTCTACTACGAATAATATCGACATCTAGTACGGAAAAATATGAGGAAATTATGGCCGACGCCCTTTCAGTGAGAGGATTTGAAAACTACGACTGCAATCATTATCATTTAGGTAAGTGGTTTAAATAATTTGAGTTGCAATAATGGTTTTATGTCACAATAGATAAAAATAGGCGGAATGAAGAAACATTTCAAACATAATATGTTTACCGCCGTAGATATATTGAAACTTAAAGACGAAAATGGCGTTCAAAAGAAATTAAGAAATGAAATTGGTGCTGTACGTGTGTTGTATTTTTTTATTTTTAGAACCCTTGCCTGAAGAAAGTTTATTTTTTATCATTAGTCCAAAAGACATTGTTTTGGCAAAGGTGTGTATCCGTTTTATTTGTTCTGACACAGCAACGTTGCTCAAATTTCCTATAATATATTCGTCATATCTTTATCTTAACATCATATCTTGTGGCCTTATTTCTTGTTATTAGCCAAGGGAAACTGATGACCATATTGACTGGCTAGTTGAACACAAAATGTTTCCAGTGAGTATATACATGATCAGAAGCAGTTGTCAAGAATACAGCCCCTCTGTTTGAAAGGAACCCCATGTAGTATTTAATTTTTACTCGAAAATAATATTTTATAGGAAGCCCTCAGTTCGGTAGAGGTGAACCAAAAAGTCCTTAAACGTAATAATTATCTGGTAAGTATGAACACGGTACTACTTTCGGATATTCGAACTTGATATTCAACTTGATTTTCGAATGAAATATTGATATATTTGTAGGATTTACACTAAACTAAAACCAAACCAGCTTGATTTATATTAGGTAGCTCTATTAGGTCTATCTGAATTCTGAACAGAATTATTCTTGCATGACGGTTAACCTTTCAAGTGGCAATGCGCCCTGATGCGCCCAAGTTTATTATTTTACTGTCTAACATCAGATTATTTTACTTTGTCTAATGCCAGACGATTTCTTAAGTACAGTACGATCTTCCTTCGTTCATGTTAGGATATTGGACGTCAATATCTGAGGCATTTAAAGTCAGTAGGAGAATATGAAGAAGCAGCAAGGTATAGCTACAGTACATATTATGTGAATACATGACCAGCTAATGTGCGGAAGATTATTAGGTTACTTACTGTGGGTGGTCAGAGAGACAAAATGCAGAAATTGTAGGAAAATATTAATATTAAGAATCGACCAGTGCAGACAACCTTTCCTCTCTATAAAGGATAAAATGGATATCGTTAATTGGCCATTTCCCAAAGTTCTCGGTCTAGTCGCGCGAATCCCATGTTGGAGGGACAATAAATATGGCAGCACGCATTTAAATTAAAAGTTTAATGTAAAAAGGAGATATTTCATTTTTGGTTGTCTAAAACGTTGATATTTGATAGCAGATACTTTACTCTTTCACATATGTATTTGACGCCTGTCACCATATATTTTGTCCCTCCAAACGACCTCAGAATACACTGTGATCTCTTTTGGGAAAAAGCCAATTACAATCTGACATAAATTATTTTATTCCCATTTTTAAATGCAATTTTAGATTTGCTATTCCATTCATTTTTTTGTTAAATGCATTTGGTAGGAAATTAACACCCGCCCTCGCAAACACAAAGTGTGCATTAACCCCCTGTCTATAATTAATGGATCCATCCCTATGTAGGTTACAATGTAGGCTTTACTCAAACAATCTTCCCATACAAATTTATAGAGTATATCATGCTTAGCAATCGTTTCCTATATTTTGTTATTTTAGAATGTGTGTTAAAGTTTTAGGCAATGATACAAGTCTTTGGGAAGACGAGGTTTATAATTTTGCCAAGAATCACCAACTGCGCGTAAGTACAGTATTACAGCAACACGGTGTTTTGAATTATGTGCAATTCTAATTACCGGCCCAGTGTAGGTAGAGACGATAACAGACAGGCAAGGGTCTACTTATATTTGTCGTGTCGAAGGTCTGCTTATATTCTTCCAGCATATCTCCTTCACACCGCAGCTCCCAATTTTAAATAAACAATATAATTATTATATGCATCACATGAAAGAGTTTGGTTGATTAACAAATACGTAATAATGAAGCCATCTTAATTGTTTTTCCCCATTTATTTTAGGCAATTGCACCGTACATCCCTCGTAACCCTAAAGATGTGAACAAACTGAGCAGCACTATTTATGAGATTGTCTTAAACGATTTCCTGCAGAAAGATGTTAAAGTAAGCCATTGATGTTTCACATTTATACTCGCATGCTAGTTTACTAACTAATGTTGCGATTAATTCTTAATTTGCTTTTTTCAGGGATTCCAACAACTTATAAAAGAATGGCCATCAGAATTATATAATATTAGACCCATCATAGTTGCACTAAAGGTGGGCTTTAGTTTTATTTTATTTTCAAACACTAGCTAAAACGGTACCTCTTACTGTGTGTGCTCCAGTAGTATATTCGTTAGCTAATTGGTGCGGCATCAAGCAAAGTCACTTTTAATCAGTCCCATGAGCTGTATTTTGGTGCAAAATTGTGAAAATATGAAATACTGCAACTATCATTTTTCTTAGGATAAACTACTGAAAGATCCCAAGAATCCAATCCTGTTGCAGTGCCTTGGAGAACTGTAAGTGTCTTGTACCCTTATGTTTGCAATCGTGTATACTTATATGATACGGTATCATAATGTCCTATAATAGTTTGTCTTGAAAAGCAAATTGTGTTTTCTTCAACATTTTATTTTATTGTATATTTCTAATCTAGGTATACTTCGCAGGGTCGTTATGATCTAAGTCTGGCAATCTATTTGGAGTAAGCTGTTCATATATAACGTTGTAGCGTGTATCGTGGTATAACTAAAACTTAAAAGCTTCATCCGAGACACAGTAACGTTTTTTATATACCATTTTATTTCAACTGCATATAGAATATCATTTTTCTTTGAAGGTTAAAATATGATGGTGTATTTGAATTGATCCATAAGCACAACCTGCTGGATTCCATTCACGACAAAATTGTGATGCTGATGAATTTTAATAAAAAGGTAAATGCAGTGAACTGTCATTATAAATACTTAAGGCTGTTTTCAACTAGGTTCAATCGTATCGTAAATTCGTAGCTTTTTCTTTTGTGTCAAAGTTATCAGTTCCTCTCAAAACAATAGGTGCTCACAACGCTACTACTCAATACGCTACTCGAACAGTCGTTAAACTGCTTTCAAAGCGACTAAAAAGACTACCAAAGCCATTTTAATTCCCTTTTCATTCAGACTTCAAAGTTGCAAAGAGCGTCTCAGTAAAATGTTGTAATATGTCAGATTAATATGTCAGTATGTATAACATGCCAAGTATAATATGTCCGATGTTTCTGTAATGAGCACCTGATGTTGATAGTGTTCAACTTGTTCGAATAAATAAATCCAGCAACGAAAACCTGTTGAAATGAAGAAATGTGAATAATATTGTACTGTGTCGAATAGATGTGCAACGCCAACGGTTATACACTTAGTACTGTGCATTTCTCTCATCAGTGCACTGCATAATATACGGTATTTTATCGTACTTAATTGTTATCGTTTTAGAGAGCAGTTTCAATGCTGGTTGACAATATCGAGAAAGTTTCGGTAAAAAGTTTTGAGTTCACTATAAAGTTTATATATTACATTATTATTTCTTTTTTCATGATGATGTGTGTTTAATTTATTTATTCTCATGTATGCATTTTATTATTTCTTATCTTGAAACATTGAAAGCATTAATTTACATTCTCTAGTTGCTTGTTCGCTTATTGTTTTTGTTGTCTTTTAGCCTTTGACATGTTTTAATATTGTTTCAGATTGAAATAGTTGTTCGACAGTTAACTCCACAGCCCGAATATTTGTACACGGTAAGAACATAAATCTTACTGCAGACTAACGCATATAGCAGTTCAGCTGTGCTGTGCTGTAATGCATTGTACTGCATTATAAGAAACAGCAAACGAGTCGCGTGCGTTTATGGTGCGAGGGAGAATACGAGAGAAGCGTGTTCTTGTCAAGCAGTTTATATTTGAAGCATTTAAGGCACTTTATTAATGACAGTTATGTAGCTTTTGTAGCTCTTTTGTGTATTCGTGTACTACACCCAAGTGAGCACAGCAGAATAATATTTAACAAATATAAAACATTTTCCGTGTTGATAATGATCACACGAGTGGAAAATGGGAAAATTAGAAATTGTGTGGAAACGCGAAGGGCGGAGTGTTTTCACACAATTTCGAGTTTTCCCAATTTCCACGAGTGTTGATAATAACTGTATATCAATATGGAAAAAATGTTTTATATTTATTTTATAATATAGCACAAAGAAATATAAAGAAAGAAATTTTCCGACGTTTCCGTGTTGACATTGAGTTATATCAACACGACTCTTAGCCAATCAGCGTTCAGAATTTACAAATGCTATATTATAATTGACGAATGATATTTGTGTATTATTCTTCTAGATGTTTATATGAATCATTCTTCGTTCGAAGGATCCCTTTTATATCTTCAAACTCATGATCGAATTCAAATACTATAAATATAAACTGCCATTTTGAAAAGTTATACTATTATTCGACTAACCGCAGACTATGAATAAAACCCGGCGCAATTAGGCCGTTGCCGGAATTTTCCGATCAAAGATATAATTAGCATACGCACTCACCAACTCCAGCGCGGATACTTCATAGCGGTTAGTCGAATAATAGTATAACTTTCAAAATGGCAGTTTATATTAGTATTTGAATTCGCTCACGAGTTTGAAAATATAAAATGGATCCTTCAAACGTAAAGAACGAACAATGATTTATATAAACATCTAGAAGAACAGGTAATAATACACAAATATCATTCTTAAGAATACACAAATAATGTCAAATATCATTCTGCTGTGCTCGCTTGTTACACCTTTTTAAGTTTTCTGCACTTGTTTAATTCAGACTCAAAAACAGCTGCGAAAATTTATTTGTCTTTCTTGTCCCATCGTCTCTTGTTGGCTGCTTTTGCACTTCATTTTTGGTCTATTCTACAGTATTTTGCTTTTTAATAAATTTTGGACTTGAATGGAACTGTATGTTCTGTTCACATTGTTTTGCCAAGAAACCGGAGACAAAGCAAGAAAAACTGAAAAACCAAGACAGTGTATTCTTGTGTTATAAATGGACGCGCATTAGCCAATTAAATTAGGTGTTTTATCCCACAAATATTATGTGTTTTATTATGATGTGCTATGTACTGTATTGTACTGTGCTGCACTGTAATGTAGTCTGTACTGTACTGCACTGTGCTTAACTGGACTGTATATTTAAATACATTAAAATATTTTAGTACTTAGATGCTGTGTTTCAAAAAGACCCAGAACTTAGTATGGATTTTCATGAAATTCAGGTAAGACGTCTATGTAATGTGAGTAAATTATTAGTATTTAGTACTATCAGTGTTTATTCAAAATGCGCATTGTTACACTAAGATTAATACTTTTAAAATATTGGAGGCCAAACCAGGATTCATAATTAATTGTGTAAACGTTGTCTGGTTAAAAATATTTATTTGTTACAAGCTTTCGACTGCCAGTCTGCAGTCTTCGACGGGTAGATTAATAATGCGCTAGTGATATAAGATGTGATATGAAGTGAATAGTGCTATATAATAGCGGTTTACAATTACAGTTACTGACACAAAAGACAATTACTGACAGTTCCGCCTAGCAGAATGTAAAGTTTTTTGAGCAAAAAGTGGTATTGTTCTGGCAAATGTTTTGAGTTGTTGTCGGCGTCTTTCGTGCATGCAGTGTGCCAATACTCTAATGTCGATAGTTGCCCTTGTCAATTACTTTTCCGTTTTTAAAATCAATTCTGTGGTCGTTTGCCCACGCATGGTTCGCGATATTAGAGCCACTCTTGCATTTTCCCACGTTTCGTTCGTGCTCTTTTCTTCTTGTTTTGAAGGCCCTATCTCGCCAACGTAACTCCACGAGCAATCTGAACAATTAATCTGGTAGACTACGTTCGTCTGATTCTCAGGTAGTGGTCGGTCTTTTGTTGGGGGACACATTTGTTCTAGTGTGCGAAGAGGTTTCGTAGGTACTCGGATGTCGTGAGGTTTTAGAATGCGTCTCAGTGGTTCTGTTAGAAAACGATCGTACTAGTTCTTCGGGTGGCGGCGTTCTATTCTCAAAAATGACACGTTTCTGTTCAACTTGTTGCAAAAATTTCTTAGGGTAACCGTTTGACATTAATGTGTTGGTTACATATTTGCGTTCTTGTTGTTTGCCTTCGTCTGTGTTAGGTAAAGTTGCTGCCCTATGTAATAGAGTTTGTGCAGTGCTGACTTTGTGTCGTTTGTCATGGTGCGAGTTGTAGTCTACCGTAAACCTCAGACTATAAGCCCTGGGCTTATATTCTTTCGCATATTTTTGATGGGCTTATACAAGGGGGTGGGTGGGGGCTTATATACGGGGGAGCTTATACATGGACGATCTTTTGTGTTAGTGTAATAGTGATAAACAAGACTTAGTGTTAAACATGCAAGCATAGTAATAATAGTGATTAATAGTGGTAATAGTGATAAACAATAGTGATAAACAATTGGGCTTATATTCGGGGGGGGGCTTATATTTGGGATGAGGTGAGCGTTAGTACATGTGGTGGGCTTATACACGGGGGGGGGCTTATATTCGGAGGAGGGCTTATATTTGGAGGTTTACGGTAAGTATCTGTCAGTATGTGTAGGTTTCCGGTATACGTCAATAGAAAGAGATCCGTTATTACGTGTGACTAAAGTATCTAAAAATGAAAGTTTTCCGTCAAGTTCCTGTTCAATGGTAAAGTTAATATGTGGGTCGATAGAGTAAAGTAATTTGTAGAAATTGGTTAACGCATGTTTTTTAATGATAGAAAATACATCATCGACATAACGAAACCATTTCTTAGGTGGCATAGAAGATGTACTTAGTGCTGAGTCCTCAATTTCCTCCATGCAGAGGTTTGCCACAATAGGGCTAACGGGCCTACCCATTGCACAACCATGAACTTGTTTGTACTGTACGTTATCTTGTTGTAATTGAAATAGCTATTAGTAAGAGTAAAACGTAAAAGTTTAATAATATCTTCAATAGAAAGTTTGGTTCTAACATGTAGGGTTTTGTCTTTCGTGAATTTGTTGCGGATGTGTTCGCATGCTTTGTCTACTGGTATCGCTGTAAACAACGATACAACGTCAAAAGACACCATGATTTCATCATCGTCAATGTGCGTTTCAGTAAGTTTCTTGGCGAAGTCAGTAGAGTTGTTAACAGAGTAACCATCATGGTTTAATTTGTAGAGGTGGAAGAATATTTGCGAGAAATTTAGAGGTGTTGTAAAGAGCTGTGTTCCTACATGTAACTATGGGACGGAGTGGATTGTTAGGTTTGTGATGTTTGACAGAGCCTCGTATGGCAGGTGGTATGCTGTCAGTAAAGAGTGTAGTTTTTTTATGTGATTTCGTCGAGTTTTTGTTCGCGTTTAATTTGTAATAACTGTGCGTTCAACTCACGTTCAATTCTCTCAAATGGAGGTTTAGACACTTTCTCATAAGTTTGTTGATCGTGTAGTAAATCTTGCATATTTTTGTCGTAGTCGCTTCGGTCCATCACGCAAAACAGTTCCCTTTGTCTGCTTTCGTCACTAATCGAGTCTTATCTTTCTTGAGTTCATCGATTGCTTATTAAATTAAAGATTAACACTGCTGTCTTAGGACTATACTATAGATTATGTAATAATGATAATAACTATATTTAATGTTATACTTTAATTCTTAATCTGAATTTGTAAGATAGAACATATTAAGAAGAAGTAGGTGTGATTAAATAATATTTCTGCTTTTTTCCACTGAAACTCGTACTATTACGTCATGTGCAGGTTGGGCTTTATGCAGAGTTTGATCGCTCAAAACTTCTTCCGTTTCTCAAGAAAAGCAATTACTATCCTCTTCAAAAAGTAAGTATATTAATTTGTTGTCTGCGTAGTTATGTAAACAATCATGCAATAGAATTTAACGGTGCAACCTTCGGAGTACCTATATTCTTCGCTTCTATTTAATTAATTAAGGAAATGAGCGTTGTCCCCGTCCCAGTGTTTCGACCGTAGAAATAATAGACATAGAATGCGTGCTCCTATCTTTTGTCAGTAAAATGTTATTATATTACATTTTTGTCTCCACAAAATGGCGGATTTATAATGGCATTTTGGCTAGACCCAGTTTGTTTTTTTCAACAAAGTTTGCAAAAACAATTATATCGAGACTTAAAGTGTAAAAAAAGTTTTTTAAAGAAGGAAAAAGTGTCTAAAAACCTATTCCAGTGGTTTTTCCACGAAAATAAATAGTTCTGAACAGAATATATATACAGAAATCGTCGTTTGAAAATACATTTTCAACGTTGTTGTGCAAGCCAAAACAAAACACGAAAGATCAAGACAAGTTTAAACTCGATACTAAGGTATGTTCTAAAAATATTTCAGCTTTTTTATAATATAAATGGAGTTTAGTAATCTTTTTAAACTTACATGACAACTACTTTTTTATATTTTTTACGTTGCTTGAGCTTGAGACAACGCTTTTGAAACCAATGTCTTCAACGATTATTTATGCGATTTACAGTTTATCGACAACTAAAGATTTTTGTTTCAAAAACATGAAAACACTTCGTTTAGATTGAAGAAAAACGAAACCCGACGAAGAATGAACTATTTGAACTAATAATGAACATTTCGTAATTTAATAAAATATTAGCAAAGCAGTTACGTTCAGAGAAGGCAAAAATGTTTTATGAACAAATTATATTTTAATACGCGAAACTAATTTGTTTTTACAAGGGCAAGACTGCACGATTTTCACCGTTTTTGTAAGTAACTGCTTAGCCATTTGCTTCGAGCCTTTAAAGAACTTAATATTTCAAAATCTATTCCCAAACTACAAATTAGACAGCAAGACAAAACCTTTTGACGATGAAAAATTTGTTTTAGCTTTGTTTATACTTTGTAGTTTGCACTCCTATGTTGAAATTCAACATGGCGGATTTATAAGGGCATTTTTGTTTTGAATTTGGACACCGGTCACGTGACCAAGCACGCATTAATTCTAGGTCTAATATTTCTATGGTTTCGACACTCCAACTTATACGGTCTCTACCAGGGCGGGCGGGGGTTTTATTTTTCACATAAAAAATTGATAATTTATCTCGACTGGACTGCTACAAATTTCCCTTGATGGGCCATTTACCGAGGACACTCATGAAAATTTTAAATTCCATAAAAAGTATTTAAAAAATCCTGGGTGGGCTATTTTCATGGGGTGGAGACAATCACCGACTATTTTTTACGTGGCCTAAAAATGGCGTGATTAATAGTCTTGGATTTAAACTTGGTTTTGTGTTTGCGACGTTTTGGAAGTTGCTTCTTCCATCAAGGAACCAAAAAACGCCGCCCCCCCCCCCCCCCCCCAACCACCACCACCACCACCACCACCTGAAATAAATCGTCCACTCCATTGTGAATTCATATCTCGTCAACAGAATATCTTTCAATCTACATGCAATTTAGCTTCCCAACCTTTAGCTCAACAACACAGATGCCCAGGCAGGTAAGCCATCTTCACAGACGTCCACATTATTTCATTATACCACGCCTGTTGATGGAAGATACAGCTTGCGAAACGTTGCGAACACAAACGTGCCTAGAATCATACTAGACAAATGCAAAACTATTAAAGTGAGGATATTCTTTCAGAGCATCTTCCAAAAATGTATCTTCACCCATGTTGGTGATGGGTGGGATCTTCCCTCAAGTATACATTATAACAGAGCCTGAAATAACGGCCGGCGGCCGGCGGTTTTCCGACCAAATTCCGATTTTTCCGACCAAATGCTGAAATGATCGGAAATTTTGTCCGGCCAAATTTTGAGAAAAAGAAAAATGTTTTCTTAATGATCGGTCGGCGCTCAGCACAGTGAGTACCATCTGTAAGTTTGGATTATCTATATTAGGCTAATATAAAGTAATCAACTGGAAAGTATAGTTCACGGGCCCAATAAACAAGATGGCGGCTTACAGCGTGGTGTTGTCGGGCCAAGATAAAAACAGCGTCGGCGGGTGTGATTAAATTATTATTCACTATAACTATTCCAATAAGCAATTCAGAATTAAACATTTGTGTTTTATTATTACAAGTAGAGTGATATACTCAGTGCACGTCTGCATGCTTGACAGAGTTTGCTCATTGGGTGGGGGGGGGGGGGGGGACTTGGTCAAACTAAACTAAAAAAAATTCCGGTCAATTTTGCAAATTTCCGGTCAAATTTTGTTTTGATCGGAAGTTTTTCCGGACAAATTTTAAAATTATTTCAGGCTCTGTTATAAGAAGACCCTTGGAACATTATTTATGAAGACACTAAGCTGGTTTCAGCGTTTTGTCCTGTCTTGGCCAATAAATTCGTTAATTATTTGATCAACCAATTAAAAGCACGGGAATATCACATCCAATATATTGTATAATGGTGACGTTTTTCCCTGGGACCGGTGATTGTGCATATGTAAATCTGGGTACAAGGAATGTTCATGCCCGTACACTCCTCACTGTCGGGCCAAGCAAAATATAGTTTTCACCAGTGCTCACTTCTCATCTGTATTGGAACATTAATGATCATGGCACAAAAATGTACTAGCCTGTTCCCCCACCATTCTATCAAATGAGCCGTCATACGCCCTTGACATGACTGAATTATATATGCAGTATTGTTTTTCAATATTTAAATGTGACATGCGTTGGAGCATATGTATAGATTTGCTCGAGTGGTTTACATTCAAGTTATTATTTATACTATAACAGGCGCTTAATGAATGCAAACAGAGAGAACTTATCGAAGAAATGGTATTTTTACTTGGTAGGTAATATTTGTAATTTATATGATTAAGATCTGTGAATAACCTGCTATGTGACCAGGGAAAATTAACTTCAAATATGGCATTCCAGTACATACAGTAAGGTAGCCTAGTATTCTATGATAGGTTACCGTGGTTTTGTAAAAATATAATATTTAAACTAGGCGATAAAAACACGTTGGCGTTTCGAACGAAGACGGTTAGTAGCCAACTAACACTCTTTTTACCAGCAAACTCTTGCTACTGTCCTCTCACCCAAAACTTGGCAGCTCATGATAATAATATAGTTTCATACTTTTATTCTTCTTTTTGTTTGTAGGTGTTTTCACAGGGTTGTTTCTATTAAAGTAATCACTATAATGTTTCTTCCAGGGCGTATGGGGAATAACAAGGAAGCTCTTCACCTAATTATTGAAAAGGAAGCCAATGTCGAGAAGGTACTCTCAATAGACAAGAGATTCTTTCCAGTTTTTAAATCGGACCAACACAAGCAATGTATCCATTAAATATTGGAAGTTAGTACGATTTTCACTTGATTTCCCATCAGACTTTTGATACTTTGAAAAAGCATTGTTGTGAATGAATGGGAAACCTGCATATTGCACCTTGATATTGCACTGCAAGTACGTACTGTATATTTTTTTACGTTTTGTAATCTCTACTGGTGGCAAATCAGCTTTCAATTTCTCGGAACTGCTTTTAGTCGGGTCGAGGCTATTATTTAATTGCAGGCTACTGTGATGAATCATGAAACCTTGCTTAGTTTATCAAGCACATTTCACGTTATTACTCTTATGTTAAATGCTGGAGTGTATTTAAATTCCTCTTATTTTTGCTACACTATAGGCTATTGTTTTCGCAAAGGAGAAGGATGATGAAGAACTGTGGGAAGACCTTATCACATATTCGTTGGACAAACCTGGTATGTATGTGAAAATTGCGAATATATTAATTGGAACATGTGCTGAGCTACCACCCATTTAAAAACTGGAACTGATCTAAATTCAAAATGTATCTTTTCGTTTAGCGTTTATTACTGGACTGTTAGACAATATCGGAACACATGTTGACCCGATAAAGCTCATCAAGGTCAGTCGTATGGTGTTGTTGATGTTTGAAAGGATGAAAATACAATATCGTAATAAAAAACACAGTGAATAATCATACGCTGTTCTAACGACGAGCAAAACGTGTGAAATTAGGGTCAGGATATAAATCCAATTTGCTGTGTTTAATTAATACTTCTTCCTATACTATGTCCTTTATATGTTCAGCGATAAAAAACACAGGTTCATGACAAATATGGGATGAAAATAATGTATATTTCACGAGATTTTGTTGGTCTCAAAATGCAGTTTTATTTGATCCCTGTTCTATCTTGTGTTGCTAGATTGCCTGGATATTACTATTAATGTAAATGATCTTTTTTATTTTATTCCAGATTCGATGTGCATGTTAACTTATGTTAAGATTTAATTTCGGGCTGCGAGCAGGCTATGGGGCATACAGTACTGTAGTTACCCTGACCCTTTCTAATTAGTTTAAAAACATTTTAGAGGATACCTTCAGATATGGAAATTCCTGGACTTCGTGATTCATTGGTTAAAATTTTACAAGACTATAACTTGCAGGTAGCTGATAGAGGGCGAGTGATATTGTATCTCAAAGCATTATATTACATTAACATGTATTATTTATTCTCATGGAATATCCTCCAAATTTGATGAAAGAATTTTTTATTTTTTTAGATTTCATTACGCGAAGGATGCAAAAAGATACTCGTTAAAGATAGGTTAGTATATCCAGAACTGTGCATGGTAGAGCATCTGAACTACCGCAAACAAGCTAGTAGGATAGGTCCGCTTCTAGCCAGTCACGTTTCTGTTCGATTATCTTTTCGCGGAAAACAGTAGTGTGTTATTTTAATAAAAGATAAAGTGTACTACTGAACTGTTAGACATGTATAAGTCAAGTCTTGACTGAATGCGTGCAGTATTGTGCCTCATGTGTAGGATATGCGTGTGTATGAAATGTAATCTCCAACCTGCCTTTAAGTTAGTGGCATGCGATTAGGGTAAATTTATCATTCTTATCACTGAGACATGTTAAAATCTGTTTCAGTGTGTCACTAATGCAAAGAGCTACAAGAACGAGGCAGAAAGGTGTTGCAGTAACTGGTATGGTACATTTCCCACATTTCAAATGCAAGAGAGCACTGTAAAGACAAATAAAAGATACGATAAAACAGGATATTCTAAATTACAGTTAGAATAATTAGCATTTTACTGAGTGTGAGAAGTCGTTTTGAAGCTTTAAATACCATGTAATACCAGTTATTGTTCAATCTTTAAACCTGAAATAAAAATTATCTATGCGATTGATCAAATTATCCAAATCAATGTAAATATACTAACCTTGATTTTTGCTGTTGTTTTCCTGCTGTAGAGTTGTCAACATGTTCTAGTTGTCAGGGAAACATATTGGTATTAGGTATTTATATCTGTTTGTTGGATAAACTTCGATAGTTTTTTCGTGTCTTCGAAAATTAGATATAAAACTGTGGAAAGTAAACTTGTTTGTGTATTGCATTTTGTAGATACACGTCAAGCAAGTCAAATTGTCACATTTTTCTGCCGACATGTTTTTCATATCGATTGCTTAGCAAATAAGGATCAGGTAAATTCTGATAAAATGATTGTGGTGTCCAGCTTTCGGTATTGTTTTGTGTAAGTGATAAAGAAGTAAAAACCACACAGTAAAAAAACTTTGCATAATTGCATTTCTATACTGAGATAAAACTAATGCATTATGGGGCGCCAAACCTGACAAAATAAAAATGGTTTGTGATATAAAGTATATTTCCCTCTGATGTAAGATATGATACACGAGGTAGCTCGTGATATAAAGTATAACTTTTGTACACATCAATATATAGTATATAACCTTACTGACACAACGATACAAAGTATACTATAACTGTCCGCGATATAGGTTATAGAAATAGACTGGGGCGAGTTTTTAATTATTCATGTCTTCCCATTTTAAAATTCACTTCCGACTTTGAATTTTAATAATCAGGAAAATTAATCAGTAATAAATAACGAATTGAGGATTTCTGCCAGTTTCTTTTAACGCGGGAAACGTCGCGCGGGAAATCTAGTAAAAAATATGACGAACGAATCTGAAAATAACATAAATACATTTCTTGAGAATATGGCTCATAGGCAAATGTTTTGTGATAATATCAATGTTATCGAGTTTATGCAGCGGCGAATTGAAAGTAATCTTCAAGTTTTGAATATATTGCATGATCGATGTCAAGGTGGATTATATGACAGGCAACGGCAAGAAAACATTGGTATATTGGTCTCAAAATTGCAGGAATTGCTCCATGATTACGAACAACAGTGGATCGAAAATGATGGTTCGTCGCACTTTACTCGCCCTGTTGAAGACGGACAAGAAGATCGTAGAGGAAGACGAAGATACGTTGTTCCTGAGAGAAGCTTAACTTGTTTATTTCCAAATACACGGCAAGTGGGAACAAGTTGCGAGAGATTTTGGAGTAAGTTACAGAACGTTGTTTCGGAGACGTCATGAATACGGTTTGACAGTTAGTGATACCCGAGGCCACGAACAACTTACACTAATATCTCTCAGAGTGATTTGTGTAATGTTGCTAGAGATGTACGTGGAATCTTACCAACTGATGCTGGTAAAACCTTTGTTCTTGGTGCGCTGAGACAAAGAGGGATCCATATACAACGATGGAGAGTGCGTGATGCTATATGTCATGTCGATCCTCTAACTCGCGCAATGAGACGTAGTGTTGCAATTATTTGACGTGCTTACAATGTTCCGTGTCCCAATGCGTTATGGTAAGAATTTGGTAATTTATTAAAATGCTACCCAAATCGAGTACATGTACTACAATATTTTCTTTCGAATGGATGCTGTCCAGATATACATGGTTTTGTGTGTTTGGTGTGAAAATAAATGTTGAATATATTTTAATTCATTTTAATAGGCACATTGACGGGCATCATGAACTCATAAACTGGCGCCTGGTTATATATACATGGTGGAATTGATGGCTATAGTAGGTGCATAGTCTATTTGAGATGTGCACCAAATAACTATGCTTCTACTGTGCTCAATTTATTTCGCAGTGCTGTTCAGCGATTTGGATTGCCATCACATGTCCGCCGTGATTTAGGTGGAGAAAATGTCGATGTGGTTAGATTTATGTTACAGCATCCTGAAAGAGGCACTAATAGAGGCAGCATGATAACTGGAACAAGTGTACATAATCAAAGAATCGAACGTCTGGGTTGATCTGCGACGTGTGCTTATATCCTACTACATAAGACTTTTCTCTCATTTTGAAAGTGCTGGAGTATTAGACATGCTAAATGAGGAGCCTTTATTTGCTCTTCATTACGTATTTTTACCAAGAATCAACAGAGGCATTGACGAATTCATCTTAGATTGGAACAATCACCCTTTAAGCAGTGCTGGTAATCGCTCCCCCCTGTCTGTTTGGCATTCTACTGTTACATCTTCAATCAATAGTCAGTACAGTGCTGTGGAAAGTATTGTTGGGGAGTATGATTGGTCCACTTTTGGTATTGATGACGATGGCCCAGTAACACCAAGTACTAGTGAAAATTTTGACGTTCCTGAAGTATCCATACCCCTTTCCAATGAACAACCCGAAGAACTAAGACAGCGTATATCTCCTCTTGTGGAAGATGGAAATCATGGTTGTAATTTGTATATAGAAACTGTTCGTATGGTTAGAAATTGTTTTCAATTTCAATAAGATTTAATAATTTCCAATGATACAATGAATATGAAAAAGAACAGTTGCATACTTTCAGCTTCAAAATGCAAGCAACCAAGATGCACTGAGCATTTAACGGATTACTTAAAAACTAAAACAACGAAAGCCGCCGTGTCTACACTACAACCCTAAGTCTGGCTTTGGCCTAGATTTCCGTAGTGTAAACACACTTTGGCCTGGCCTAAGCCAGGAAATCTGGGCCTATCACAACAGGCTCGTAATGTAAGCTTAGGCTCGTAATGTAAACACGGCTATAGTATAACAAGCTTGAATAGCAATGAGTCTTCGTTACTCTTCAAGCATGTTGACTTTTCACATCCTTCCAAAGGTGTGCTTTCCATGAGACACAGAATGGTCCATGTATTTAAGAAACTCCTTAAAATCTGTGTGGCATGTTGGGATTTTAATGGAATTAAAACATGCATCTGCAATAGCTAACACTTGGCTGGCTTCATTTGGTAAAAAACCGACTTTCATCTAGCTGGAATACCGGGCCAAACAGTCCAGAATTGCAAGAGATCTTGTAGTGTTTCTTCTGAGTTTCCTTAAAATAGAAAATTAAAGATTGGTCCCTGCAGTTTTTTGACATGAGAGATTTACTTTTATTTAAATTGAAAGTTTCTTACCCACCATGCTTATTTATAGCGAACAATACCTACATGCTGTTGCTATGACAACTATAAGATCTTATATTAATTAAAATAATTATTTACTTAATATTTAAAGTAATTGATTTTGTAAAGAATTGCCAGTGTAGATTTTTTCCAATCTATTCAAAAATCAGACCTAAATTTTTCACTTTCAAAGAGAGAGTTGGGTGTCACCTTAAATTAACCAGACTTACAACCGTATTCTATAGTGGAAAATAAAATTATATTTACCAGATTAGTGCATAACAGAGCATCCAGCACTTTGAAGAACTAATAAACTATATGCTAATCTGGAATGTCTTTTGTTGACCTGTTGGTTGCAGTGGACCCAAAAAGTACTCTATTTTATTCTTTTACTCGGTATATTAAGGTTATTAAGTATTAGTATGCATTTTGCATACCAAATGAGCTTTCGCGCGTTTTGATTGGCTAGTTGATTAGTAAATCTGAGGCATTGTTCAACACCTGGGGAGTACATAATGCTTTTCAAAAATAATGATTCTGCAAATTTGGTTTCAAAATCGATAAAATATTGAAAAAAAATCGTCCCCAAACAACAAAAGAAGTACAAGAAAGGTAGGATTCTTTTATTATTTTACTGTGTTAAACGTATTCACGGACAATTTAAAACTTATTTAAAACTCCGAAACATTCACTTCAAATAAATAGCAAAATCCATCCCGACTGTTGGGAAAAACCTTGCCGTGATATTCTTTTAAATCCATTTTATTTTGTATGCTATAGATTTTTCAATTTTGTACGATACTATTTCTTTTGATATGTCATGTTTTCATTGTGCTGTATGGTGTTCTGACAGTTTTATTCTGTTTCGAAAGTTGTAAAGTGAAAAGTGTTATTAAGAAAAACAACTTTGTAATAAAGAGAAAAACAAGAGAAAAACAACTTTGTAATAAAGCAAAAAAAGTCACAAAGGAAGCCATTTTGAAAGCGTGCATGTACAAGAAACACTGCAACACTTAACACTAAAACGGTAACCGTAAAACTGGCCGAAAACAGTTTTATTGGATTTTTTGTTCATTAAAAATTTATACTAAAACAATTATTCGCCTCAAATGCCCAATTTCTCCTTCAAATAATTTTACGGCATTTAAACAGGAAGACACAATTTCCTTCATCAATATGTTAAAGAAATTCCTTCTAGGCCCTCCTGCATCATTCCCATGCTCATAAGTGCCAGAACTTATAAACTGTACATTGAGAGGAGCACCTAATTTGAATTGTGGATTCTTGTATCTTTTAATCACTTTCTGCATGACACTTTTATCACGATTGATGGTAAGGTCCACTTCAAGTGTATCTGGTAGGGCAATGTCTTCGATGAAAACTTGCATGGCATCCAAGTGGTTTAATCTTCTACTCTTAGTTGATGCAAGAGGCCTGTTCCAAATCTCTTCATCGCCGAGCCAACAGAGAATATGAGGTGACTTGTTTTAACCTTTAATGCGCCCCCATGTGCCCTACTTTAGTTAGCATTTTACTCTGTCTACTCGTTAACATGGAAGTTAGACATAGATTAATATGCCCCCAATTATCGCGTCTAGTTACGGCCCTGGGGGGGATGCAAGTTATGATTATATATAAGCGATTTTGCAAATTATAAAAATATAAGTGATGGGGGAGTGTAGTGCCACTGAGCAAGCTGCAGCAATGGTCTGGGGGTTGAGTGTGGCTGGATAGAATGTTAAAAGTGTTGAGAATTTTAGTCCTATTTTGTTCCAAATCCTTTAATTTTCTTTTAAATTACAGGGTATTGATGCTTCAGTTTGATGCAATAAAGTCTATGACCTTATTTCCATCATACTGCTGTAATTTAATCCAAATTTCTGGGGGGAGGGGGTGCAAATGTCTCTATCTCCCTTGATGTATGTGGAACACTTACTATCACTTTGATCACATAGAAGAAAATCAACTGCTCCAGACATCATGTCCAACTTCTAAAGCCTTCGCAATTCTTTCTGGTGTTTCACCAGGGAAAATGGCTTCCAATTGACTTCAGTCATTTGTTTCGTCAGATAATCTTGGAGCACTAGGTGATTCCTAAAAAAATAAGGTTTACAAGTTGAGTGCAGAACTAAAAGAAAGAAATTAAGACAAAATCAAGAGCAAAATAGGTGGTATGCAAGTTACGTCACCGTCATCATGTTGGATGACATTGACAAAGGATTTTGCTTGTTTGCAATGCAAATATCCCAACATGGCGAAAATCTCTTTGTCCTTTGAATCCCATGGGATTGCTAATCAATGGTTGCACATCACCTATAGAGAAGTGCAAAAATGAAACAAATCGATAATGACTGACAACTAACAAATCATCTTAAACTGCCAGCTGACAAAACAATGAGAAAAAGTTCTGGTCAAGCTGTAAACTGACATTTGCCAAAATATTTATTAACTGCCGGTTGACAAATGGCTTGATTTTTAGTTGACAACTGACATGCAGTCCGAGACCCCATTGAGACCCTCTAATAAAGTAACAATCATTATGAGTATAATTATATATAAGGAATGAATTTGACAGTGTCCACGAAGAATAAACCTATTTGCGCCAGTATAAAAGAATGTGAATATCCAACTGCGTATAAACATGCCTTAGTTATTACAGTTCCGAAGGTCAATCCACCAAGAGATATCGAGAATGACTTTCGCCAGATATCCATTCTTCCCCAAATGGCTAAAGTGCTGGAAAAGCTGCAGCTCAAACTGAACCTTCCCAGTTCACGTATAAATGATAATCAGCATGCCTTTACAAGCAAACGATCAACCGTGTCCGCACTCACCAACATCTCGCAGAACTGGTTTAATGTGACCGACAATACGCATAGCGCCAAAAATGGAGTTTATGCGCTATTCATAGATTTTCGCAAAGCGTTTGACCTTGTTGACCACGGAATTCTACTTCGTAAGCTCGCAGAAATGAATGTAACCAAAGCCTTTTGGCTATGGACACGTAGTTTTCTGGAAGATAGAAGACAACAGGTCAAACTAGCAGGAACCCTATCATCGGTCAAACCTTGTCCTGCAGGAGTCCCACAAGGTTCTGTGATGTCCCCCGCTCTTTTTAATATTCACATTAACGATATTGAGAACTCAATCCCAAATGGATTATCCATAAACATATGCAAATACACGGATGATTGTACACAGGACGAAGTGGTGTCACAAGGTTCATCCAGCCATATGCAGGAGGCCCTTGAAGCAGTACAAGAATGGTCTAATAGGAACAAAATGACGATAAATTCGAAGAAAACAAAAGCTATGTGGATATGTTTTAACACAGCAATACCGGCACCAGAACCATTGGTTATTGGAAACGAGGTAGTGGAAAGAGTAAATTCTCATAAACTGTTGGGTGTCTGGCATCAAAACAATTTGAAATGGAACTGTCATGTTAAGAACATTGTAAGGAAAGCAAATAAACGAATGTTTAGTCTGAGAGAATGCCGTAGAGCGAATCTTCCTCCTGTGGTCGGTATTACATGTTATGAATCCAAGATTAGACCTGTTTTAGAATATGCAGCTCCGATATGGGGTGGTTTACCACAGTATCTCATTGATGAAATAGAGAGCATTCAAAACAGATGCATCAAAATCCTCGGCACATCTCGGTGCAACTTTGAAACGCTAGAACAAAGAAGGGCACACCTAACTGTTAAGGAATACCAAAGAATTCTAAGTGATCCGACCAACCCATGTAATAAACTTATCCCCCAACCTTTTACACATGAACACGATCTAAGAACAACTAATAATCTACCATATGTTGTATCGTATACAAAAAGACACCGGCAATCCTTTATACCTAGAGCTATATCCCTTTTAAAACAGTCCTAAATTAATTTTATAGAATATATAACTAGTATAAACATTTTTAGCAACATTGATGTAAATAATAGTAAAATTTCTTCTTATCAATTTTAACCTTAGCACTTCTTGTAAATCCATTGTACTTTTCTAACCAAAGATGGATATTAAATGTTATTATATTAGGTCTCCTTAACTCACAAATTTCAGAATCAACACAATTACCAGGACCTGCAATTAAAAAATGACTATATTATACATTAAGAACATTCATAAAATTAATACGCCGATCAAAACGAAGGTGTAACATCCCCCCCGGGCATTTGACTTTTTGGATTTTGCAATGATCAAATCCCCCAACCCAAGTCAAAAAACGAAGTTCAAATGACCTACGGTTATTCCACAACTAAGTGGTGGTCAGATGCCCCATTGTAAATTTAGGTTAAAATTCTTCAACTCTCAACTTTGAACATAATTCACATTTTGACTTCAAAATTCGTTGTATAATAAAAATCTCGCCATTTTCTTGAAAACACAAAAGCAAAAAATCTGCTGTTAAAACCTGTGGTTTCTTGTGTCAGCGGGAAGCAAGTCTATCTATAATAGTCTTCATGTTAGATAAACTGAAGGTTTTTTGGTTGTGGTCAAATCCCCGTCCTCATTATAAGTGGAATCAAATGCCCCTGCCACTGTAAATTTCTCGACAACAAATGCCCGCCCCTAGGGAAAATCCCGAATGGCAAATGCCCCTCTCGTGCCCGGGGGGGTGTTACACCTTCGTTTTGATCGGCGCATGACAATGATAAATTAATACAATGAACCCAGGTTATTTAACACAAACAAACTTTCCTCAATCTTCTTATAAATAATTCTGAACACTTCAATCAGTCAAAAAAAGAAGCAACTTTCTGTTTAGCAAAATCTGATAAAAGATGCTTTTCAATTTTACAACATTGTGATAATGAATAGTAAATAAAAGTAACTAACTTTTATTCTCCTCGTCACTTTCAGAAAAAATATAGTCTATACAATACTGAAAAAATACAAGATATAAGAACATATTCATAAAGCTATTAAACATGGGGATATAAGAAATGGGCTATTGCAATTTTAAATTGACCCCACCCCCCTCTCCTTAAGCCTCCTCCCACTTGGAATTCCAAGGTTCTTCGACAGGGAGGGGGCGGATCAAAATTGCAATAGCCCAATAATAGATGCTCTCAAAAGTGTCAAGTTTTATGATTTATATTAGTGTACCTACCACAACAATTCAGTCTATACCTGATCATGTGGATGAAGACATTTATTAGGAACAATCCATACAGTTTTTTGAGCAAATAGTCTGCAAAGCCTTTCACCATTCAATCTTTGGTCGGCCATAAGTGCTGATTCAACCAGTTGAGAACCAACCCCAACCTTGATTTTAAAGCTTCAGTAAAAAATAAATGAAAATTCAAATACAGTCCAAAAATGTATTGACAGTTATTACTTCGCAAAGCATTTTCATATAAACTCTCCCCTCCCATTTTATGCACCCTTAATTGTCGAACGGTATAGCCACAAACCTTGAGCCTTGGAGTTTTTCTACAAAGACCAAACCAATCTGTTTTTCTATTTCCTCATCCGACCAACCTTTTTTAAAGTCAAATGAACTGATTACATGTCCGTTCTTCATGAGATCAGCTTTAGCCTTTCCTCTACAGTAACTGTGGTGCAGTCGGTAGGACTGTTTACCAAAACAACGTCTCTTGTAAAATTCGTGCATGGGTTTATTGAGGTGGATGCTGAAGACCTTTGGTTTCTTCTATTTCGCAAACGGCTTCTCGCACGGGTGGATGAACCAATAGAGGAATCAATGGAGCTGAATGAAGCGACAGTACCTCCTCCTTGCTGTCCTTGAGTATTTCCAAATCGAAAAATGGAACGGAATTCCTCAACTGGACTGGAATATGTCGATCTCCCAAGGCCAAGATTTGCAGACGAGTTCGTAGTTGTTGCGTAGTTGTTGCATTGAGCGAAATTGTGGGTGATTCACCACATTAACAACTGTCCTCATATTATTAGTATCATCAGCAGGCGCCGAAGTTGACGAGTTTTCTCCACTGAATTGGCTTTCTCTTTCTGCCATGATGCCGCAAAATATCTGCTAATCTATTTACTACATTTCCCGCGTTACTCGTTTCGTTAATTTATTACTGATTTTAAAATGGGAAGACATGAATAGTTAAAAACTCGCCCCAGTCTATTTCTATAAACCATATCGCGGACCTCTGATCGCGGACAGTTATAGTACACTTTGTATCGTTGTCAGTATGGTTATATCCTATATATTGATGTGTACAAAAGTTATACTTTATATCACGAGCTACCTCGTGTATCATATCTTACATCAGAGTGGTAAATTTGAAATATACTTTATATCACAAATCATTTTTATTTTGTCAGGTTTGGCGCCCCATAATGCATATCAGTGGTTGCAAAGATATAATTGACGGATTGAAAAATATTGCATGGTACTTTATGGGCATACTCGAGCAGTTCTTTTTTTAAATATCTTTCAAAAACTCGTTAATAATTCATGCCTGAGGAAAACACAAAGAAAAATCATAAGCGTGTCCTATCTTTATATGTGATAGAGATTTCCCTTGATTTACATTAAACTTTAACTTTGATTTTCTCGACTTACACAACGTATTTTTTTCAAAATTATTTCGCCAATGAACTTACTAGATCGATCGTTTTTGAAGCAATTTAAAACATTCGCAGTGCGTGTTTTATCAGATCTAAAGATACTCGGCTTCGCCTCGTATCTTTATATCTGATAAAACACTGCTGCTCATGTTTTAAATAGTACTTGAATATCTTTGCAATGTATTTCAAATATCTTTCTGTATCTTTTAACTCATTTACAGTGGAAATATACCAAAAAAAGCTTTTTATTTCTGTTTTTTACTTCCTGATTATATTTTCACTTTACAATAACAAAAGTGACACTAATCCTTTAATCACCATAGAAAATATACTAGCTGTTAATCTGTGTTGCAACAGCATCCAAACTCTTGCACCTGTGTGTTACTAAAACGTTGTTAACCAGCTTCAACTGAATTTTGTGTTATTTGGTTGTTCACCCTTACCCAGATTGGTCAGTTGTATTTTCCTTTAACCATGATGCATTTCGGCCACGATGTATAGATATATCATCTGTTCCGGGTAAAGTATCACATCAGCCACTCGCGCTCATTTCGTCAGGCACTGCGAAATATTTCTTGACTTGAAATTTCAAATCTTGTCCTTTATTCAGACTGCTATTTGATAGTCATGCATGCATTGAAACGTTGAGCCGTGATGTTTTATTCTAAATTGTACTTGAAGCTGCTATGTGGAAGATTTCCCGACAGCCACTCTAAACATGTAGTTTTTGACGTTTTGACCAAAAGCTCTTCGTCAGGAGAGTTTGTAGGAGTTATACTGACATTTCATTTTCGCCTTAGGAATTTTACTGCCAGATATGCACAGCTCGTGGTCAAACAAAGAAAACGTCAGCACGAAATCATGCCAGGTTCATGTAAACATTTCGACCAATAGTCATGCTTGAGCACCTGTAAAGGCCTGTTTATTCGATTACACACGCCAGAATAAGAATCTATACGTCTAATCGTATCGTGTAGACAGGCCTTAACACGTGGTCACCCAAACGTAAAACATAAAAAAGGCAAACTGCAATTTGCAACGCAGTTTTTCAGAGCAATCAAAGGTAAAGAGTACTTGAACTTAATCAGGTTTTTCCCTGCGGGCATTTGAATTACTTAATACATCCAAACTAAGACGTGTCAAAGAAACAACATATATATATATATATGTCTTTATGCGTTTATATTTAAATGCGTGAAGATAAACTGATAAAAGATGTGTGAACATGACCTGAAACGATAGTTTGATATTTTTGTAATTTTTTGTTGACTAGATTAATCAGATCATTTTAAGAGATATAGCTAGATTTCTATTGAGATAATGTCGATAAATTAATTAATAAAATTTATTGTATATAATTAATGAAGTGAGTGAAATTTTATATACGTTTCTAATTCTTGTACATCATGCTAAACATGGAGGACTTTTGTCTGCTCGTGCGCGCGCTTAAAAAGGCAAGAAACACACGCGAATCAATGGCGATATTTGTGCGAAAACAAGCCTTTTATTTGCACAGCAGATGTTTAGTTTACAAACAGGATTTTGACGCAAAAATGGAGCAGGTATTTCCCTTCAAGAAAAGGGGACTCAGAGCCAAACGTACGAAATACTATAGGAAATCACATGGGACGTATAGTCTTCTCAGCCTTGATGTTTGAAGTTATTTAGAAGTGTGCTCTTTGTCTGCAAGAATCCTTGTCCAACCTCGACACGTGGAGCCATGATAATAACATCAAGTTCAACGCATCGTCATCAAAATGTAAGGTTTGAGGTTTTGAAAGAAAAATCCCGTGACTTACAACTATCATTTGCATGGGCTCATCCTCGTTGCTTCACGTTCGGAAGGAAAAAAATCTCGGCGTCATCGTGACAGGCAATCTCTTGTGGAACACTCGTATTCAAATGATAACAGCTAAAGCTAACAAGATGCTTGGTCTCCTAAAGAGAACTTGTCGTTTATTGACGGAAACTAAAATCAGGCGTTCATTATACCTGTCACTTGTAAAGGCGCAGTTATGCTATAGTACTGAAATTTGGTCTCCATCCAATGTCTTCCTCAAGGTCAAGATCGAAAGAACACAACGACGCGCGACAAGATGGATCCTAAGATCAAGAATAGGCGAGGTATCTTACCAGGAGAGACTTCAGACTTTGGAAATCAATCAATCAATCAATCAATCTGTTTAATTAAAACCAATTTGCAGTTTTTAAAGGAAAAACTGAATTACATGGAGTACTAATATAGTATAAAATTTTATATTAAAATGTACAATTCATAATCTTTATATATATATATATATATATATATATATATATATATATATATATATATATATATATATATATATATATATATATATATATATATATATATTTATATATATTTATATTTATATATATATATATAATTTATTTTTAAATTCACCTGATGAGTGTGGCAAGCATTGCTTGTCATACGAAACAAGTTTGTAGTGAATAAATCTTATGAAGTAAACCAGGTTTATTTTATCTTTATCTATATATATATACATATATATATATATATATATATATATATATATATATATATATATATATATATATATATATATATATATATATATATATATAAGTATATATATATATATATATATATATATATATATATATATATATATATATATATATATATATATATATATATATATATATATATATATATATATATATATATATATATATATATATATATATATATATATATATATATATATAATGTACAATAATGTTTATTTAGTTAGGACTGTTAATTAACTATAAAACTAATAATATTTCCTAGTCACGAAGTTCTTTAGCCGTTCAGTGATTTCTGGCCATAAAAATTGTTCGACCGTTCTGTCATTCCTTAAGTCATAATCGTGAGTTTTTACCCCGGGACGAATTTCCATAATTTTGGTCAAAGGGTTGTAAGGTGAAACATCACGTCGCAAAGATTCGACGAATTTCTTGCAAGAGATGTCTCTACGAGTACTCAAATACTGTAAGTTTGAAATTGCCAGGGCTTCATCATATAACAGATCTGGGTAAGCTATTATCAAAGCTCTCTTTTGAACAGATTCGAGAATGTCAGATAATGATTTAGGTATTGACGACCACACAGGGGATGCATCTAATGAATGAGATATATATTTGTACAATGTGTGATGCTTGAAGACCAGCCTTTTTTAAACAGACGCAGTGCGTATAAGCGAGAATTTGCCTTTTTCAATACCATGTCAACGTGAGTATTCCATGACAAGTCGTTTGATATCCATACACCTAGGAGCTTGAAAGAGGACACAGTTTCCACCGGTTTACCTGCAACATGGATCGGATTTTCATCATCGATCGGGTTTTCATCATCAGATCCTTTATATTTAAGAAAGTTGATAAACATCTGTTTGCATTTCTTATAATTTAGTTCCATTCCGTGTTCTGAAGCGTAATCCGAGATTTCATTTACGACTAATGGCATTAAACTGGGTGAAAAACGTGGTATAATCTCTAAGGCCGAGGTGTCATCCACAAACTTGATCCTATACCAGGCCAGTTTTTGAGTAAGGAATTAATGAGAACAGCCAACAATAATGGACCCAACTTTGTACCTTGTGGTAGGCCACCATTTGTTTTCTTCCAAGAGGACATAGAAGTTCCCACCCGGACACATTGTTCGCGATCGCAGAGTAAGGCTTTAATCCACCGAATTATAGAGGGATGGGTACCAAGCAGGGTTAACTCTTTCATAATAAGACTTAGATATAAGCAATTATGTTAGTGTTATAAACCATGATCGTTCTCGACTATAACCTTAAATCCTAGTCTATTACTTCAAGTGCCGTTATGTAGAACAACTACATTCAAAAACTCTTACTTTAATCGAACAGTTCATTTATGGAACACAGTGTGTAGAACTGCGTCACCTGATAGCTTCGTGACATTATTTACTTTTAAGAACTTTCTTCGTCAGACTTATTCGTTTTTACGTAATTCAGTTTTTGACGTAGACATGCCATGTACCTGGTGTCTTGTTCGGGACTGCCCATGTCACAGAAATTAAAATAATGTATAGTACGTTCTTTGATTGAAGTAAAGTTCGTTTCGTGTACATGCCCAAGTCACATGTTTTCAAAACCAAGTTATTTTCTGTACAATTTTTCCAAAATCTGTCTTTTACGTGTTTGAGAGATCAGTTTGTGGGTATGCGCAAATCGAGCTTTACCTCAACTATAATTTATAATGTAATGTAAATATAATTGTAAAGTTTATAAGGGGGGGGTGCCTCGCATGGGCTTTTTCTGACCCGTTCACACTTTTCCTTTTGGGCAATTATTTAATGTTATTGTTAATATTCCCAATTATACAATAAAGTTATAAAGAACCTGCTCTAGGCTAAATACGTTCTTTAGGCTATGCAAGAATAATAATAAAATAATAATGTAATTTTTTTTATTTGTGCATGCCTAGTGATATTTTTTATTTCCTGCAATCTGATTGGCTGCAGCAGCGGGCAGCTTTCTACGATATCTTGACCGTTGGTCCAAAATAGTTATTTTTTAGCGACAAACCGAGGAGCGAAGACAATTTTCAAACTCAAAACACGACCCAAAAAATCGAAAATTCCACGCTACAGATACTAAAGATAGTAAAAAACAATCACGATGACGAATATCCGCCATTTTTGGGTGGCATCTAATTCTCGTTAACCAATACAGACAATTAAAACAATGTGAAAATAAACTAACCATTTACAAAGCAAATTTGCCATCATTCGTCCAAAAAATTATAAAACGTCGCTGTTATGTGGACTTATTTTTCACCCTGCTCGGTTTCCTTTGTTCTTATCGGGGAATATATTCAATATTCCCCTCTAATCAATTTCCTTTAATAATCCACTCTAATATTCACCTGCAATGTCTTTGCAGCACAAAAAATGAGAAAAAAACAACATCACGAAAGCAATATGGCATTAAGAATTATTTCTATTCTGACTCATTAACGCGACCTCGCAATGTGAAAAATAAGTAATTTATTTTGAGGCACCTCGGGGGTATGTGTTTATTTACCTCGGCGCTGCGCGCCTCGGTGAATAAATCACATATCCCCTCGTTGCCTCAAAATAACCTATACTTATCTCGCAGACGGCTGAAAAGCCACCCAAAAATGGCGACATGAGAAAGGCTAATTGACTTCAATGAACTTAGTGCGAACCCGAAATGTACTTCCCTCCGACCAAAATGCGAAAAAAAGCCCAAATATAATCGGAAAAAACCTTGACCATGCAGTGCTACATGTTTTGATTTAAATGCTCCACATATATTCAGCTATTCTTCGAAAATATACATATAAATACTACAACGTATATAGCTTCTCCTTAGACACAAAATACTTTAAATGGCAGTTTAAGGACGACTATATTTCATATATATATATATATATATATATATATATATATATATATATATATATATATATATATATATATATATATATATATATATATATATATATATATATATATATATATATATATATATATATATATATATATATATATATAATATATATATATATATATATATATATATATATATATATATATATATATATATATATATATATATATATATATATATATATATATATATAAAATATATATATATATATATATATATATATATATATATATATATATATATATATATATATATATATATATATATATATATATATATATATATATATATATATATATATATATATATATTTAAATATATATATATATATATATATTTAAATATATATAAATTTAAATATATATAAAGTTAAATATATATAAATTTAAATATATATATATATATATATATAAATTTAAATATAAATTTAAATTATTTAACGCTTACATTATATACCATATTCAAAGTGCTGTACAATCTAAAAACACTATAATTCTACTAAAAAAAGTTTAAAAGCGTTCTTAAAAAGAAATGTCTAACATCACCAATATATGTTCTTTTATACAGTTTTCCACAATTACACTAATAATTTAGGTTTTAGTATTTTCATATTCACTAATCAATATGTATTGCATGTTTTAATACCATACCTATATTTCACAATCATTCACAAGATAGACATATAACATCTGGGATGAGTCATGTGACTGAACTACATATGTAGCCTAAATAAAAAATTTACATAGTGTATATGTAAATTTACATAGTGTATATAGGTGACACTGTTAAATATCAGTTAAATTATATTCCACTATAACTATTTAAGAAGTAGACTATTTACAATCTTTCTGCCCATAATGCGTAATAAATGAGTTTTTATAGCGGTTTGTACCTAGGCGTGGAATTTCATAGGGGGTTTGTTGTATATGGTAGAAGTTCTGCGAGCGTATAATCTTCATCTAAGACAGTGCCGTTGAAAAGCTCGCAAGATAAAGGTTCTCATCTATTGTGCAGGGTGTGCAGACCAACCTTTCAATATGGCATCAATGTAAGAGGGAGTAAGGAAGATTTTGTGCATTGCACGTTTTTGGTTACGTTCAATGTTTTCAAAAGATATTGCGGAAGACTACTATGAAACATGCAGTTGGCATCCATACTCGGATCTAATACAACTACAGTAGAATTTAACTAATTTTTCCGGTTTGGCTGTCTCAGGAGATAGATAAAGACGTTTTGCATAAGGTCCACATACATGATCGTTCCATTTTTTAAATATTCTGACGGAGTTGGCCATTTGTGCTAACCGGGATATGGGTTAGCGTAGTTCTTGTAAACGAAGTAAGTAATTCTTTGCACTTGATGGAAGAGGTTTTCTGTTGACCATTTAACCATTTAGAGATGTGGTTGACATCATCTTCTAGCACAATTTCTTCTGATTTTATACGTATTTATATACGATGGTCAGAATACCAGATTTTAGTCACAAATAGAGGTTTCGTCGGCAAATTTTGGATTGATGAAGATTCTTTTGGTAAGATAAGGTAAGTGTGATTCTCATAGTAAGGTCGTTTATCATTGCTAGAAATCACCACGTGTTCCCTGAGGTACACTAGCCGAGATTTTTAACCAATCTGAGAAGTAATTGTTATTTAACTTCAAAATTTTGGGCATCTTACTCGATAGAACTAATTGCTGAAGGGTTTTGTAGATTGATATTTCGGGTGTAATTTTTTTACATTTATCAAATCTAACCAGGAGCAGTTGAGGAAAATGCAACAATAAGCCCTCTCTTCGATTCTGGTGCAGCGTTCTAACCAACTGAGCTGCAGAGACCAGTTGCTGAGCTCTCTTTACCAAAGGCTGCATTACTGTTGTTAAACAAACACGGAAAGAGTCAAGGTTTGGTCTCCTAAGTTAATGACAGCATCGTTGGACTTCATTGGGACATCGATCGGCGACAATATCGTATCCCAGTTCATTATAATAAAGAGATCAGTTGGGTATAAATCCCCATTCATACCAATAATACTTCCCAAGTATTGGCAACTTGACAGTCATTACTGAATTGGCATAGTTTGTGTTATCTCGTAGAACATGCAAGATTATTGTCTCTGTCAAGATTATTTTCAATGTCATCTTGTCCATTGGCATATCCCACTAACAAACAAATTCTGAGGCACCGACATATTCAGATTTCTTTCAATTATCTTCTGGGGTTTCCAAGTTTGAATATCATCCTGAAAACCGTCGGGTTCCACAACAGGAACAAAGAATTTGTCTAATTAGCTGGGTGTTGATATTATTCTGACCTGATTTTTGTTGGTTAAGGTTTCTGGGTAAATTCTGACCTTGTCATGGGAATAGTTGGTATAAAGGAGAATGCTGGTCTGTTGGAGTGCAACTGAATGTTGCCATCAATATGAGGAGTATGAGTTCGTTGTGCCACTGGTGGGAGCCACTGGTCTATATGGACAGCTTTTCGAAATGTGTTCCGGCTTGCCGACATTCATAACAAATAAGTCTACTGTCACCAGTACGCGCCGTTCTTTGTCCATTGCCGGGCTTACGTCGGAAATAATTTTTTTTTAAATATTTTTTTCATGGTTTTTTCAATAATTAGTGTGACAACAGACGCCATTTTGGCAGCAGCCCGCAACCACCCGGAGAAAATAGGGTCCCACGGTAAATCGCGTTGAAAAAATAGTAGGGTCGGAAGAAAAAAATAGGGTCGGTCGGGAACCGGAACCACAGGTATTTTTTTTACGCCTTATGCATTTTTTACAGAATTTATTTGCAGTTTCGAATTAAGTTGTGACGGCGTGTTGGACTCTTATATTGTTCAAGCATTCAAGTGTTTATCCCAATCTGTTTTATTTACATGTTTTGAAATTATCCGATAGACTTTTTGGTAGCAGTTTTGACAGAATAGCCACGCCTGCAAACTGCCATAGGCGCGGCTTCTCCCAAAACAATCGTCGATATTATTATGTTTCCGCAGCTAGTTCCTTTTTCTGTTGGGACA